TGACAGCACGGAGGCCGAGGCGAGTGGCGATGTCATTCTGCACGTGCCGGCGTTGCCGTCAACCGATCGACGCAGTATCGCGGCTCCATCGGCCTGGAGCACAGCGACGGCGTGCGAGAGCCTTCGGTGGATGAGGACAGACTGGTGGGGAAAGCAGGCGAGGACGAGGGACGTCATCTCGCGCTATTTCAACGCTGCTGTGGTAGTATCGTAGTGGCACTGCTCGTGTCCACGGCCACCGTGTCGGCTCCGGTCGGTCGTTGGGGGCAGTGATGTGAACAAGAAGCGCTTTGTGCGCTGAAACCGGCATGTCGCCGGCATAGACGTGCTGGTCGGAATGATGTTGGCGGGAAGCCACGTCGAGAAGTAGCGTGGAGTAGGCCGAGCGTCGCGTTTGATGGCAGCACGGAGGCCGAGGCGAGTGGCGATGTCATTCTGCACGTGCCGGCGTTGCCGTCAAACGATCGACGCAGTATCGCGGCTCCATCGGCCTGGAGCACAGCGACGGCGTGCGAGAGCCTTCGGTGGATGAGGACAGACCGGTGGGGAAAGCAGGCGAGGACGAGGGACGTCATCTCGCGCTATTTCAACGCTGCTGTGGTAGTATCGTAGTGGCACTGCTCGTGTCCACGGCCACCGTGTCGGCTCCGGTCGGTCGTTGGGGGCAGTGATGTGAACAAGAAGCGCTTTGTGCGCTGAAACCGGCATGTCGCCGGCATAGACGTGCTGGTCGGAATGATGTTGGCGGGAAGCCACGTCGAGAAGTAGCGTGGAGTAGGCCGAGCGTCGCGTTTGATGGCAGCACGGAGGCCGAGGCGAGTGGCGATGTCATTCTGCACGTGCCGGCGTTGCCGTCAAACGATCGACGCAGTATCGCGGCTCCATCGGCCTGGAGCACAGCGACGGCGTGCGAGAGCCTTCGGTGGATGAGGACAGACCGGTGGGGAAAGCAGGCGAGGACAAGGGACGTCATCTCGCGCTATTTCAACGCTGCTGGGGTAGTATCGTGGTGGCACTGCTCGTGTCCACGGCCACCGAGCCGGCTCCGGTCGGTCGTTGGGGGCAGTGATGTGAACAAGAAGCGCTTTGTGCGCTGAAACCGGCATGTCGCCGGCATAGACGTGCTGGTCGGAATGATGTTGGCGGGAAGCCACGTCGAGAAGTAGCGTGGAGTAGGCCGAGCGTCGCGTTTGATGGCAGCACGGAGGCCGAGGCGAGTGGCGATGTCATTCTGCACGTGCCGGCGTTGCCGTCAACCGATCGACGCAGTATCGCGGCTCCATCGGCCTGGAGCACAGCGACGGCGTGCGAGAGCCTTCGGTGGATGAGGACAGACTGGTGGGGAAAGCAGGCGAGGACGAGGGACGTCATCTCGCGCTATTTCAACGCTGCTGTGGTAGTATCGTAGTGGCACTGCTCGTGTCCACGGCCACCGTGTCGGCTCCGGTCGGTCGTTGGGGGCAGTGATGTGAACAAGAAGCGCTTTGTGCGCTGAAACCGGCATGTCGCCGGCATAGACGTGCTGGTCGGAATGATGTTGGCGGGAAGCCACGTCGAGAAGTAGCGTGGAGTAGGCCGAGCGTCGCGTTTGATGGCAGCACGGAGGCCGAGGCGAGTGGCGATGTCATTCTGCACGTGCCGGCGTTGCCGTCAACCGATCGACGCAGTATCGCGGCTCCATCGGCCTGGAGCACAGCGACGGCGTGCGAGAGCCTTCGGTGGATGAGGACAGACCGGTGGGGAAAGCAGGCGAGGACGAGGGACGTCATCTCGCGCTATTTCAACGCTGCTGTGGTAGTATCGTGGTGGCACTGCTCGTGTCCACGGCCACCGTGTCGGCTCCGGTCGGTCGTTGGGGGCAGTGATGTGAACAAGAAGCGCTTTGTGCGCTGAAACCGGCATGTCGCCGGCATAGACGTGCTGGTCGGAATGATGTTGGCGGGAAGCCACGTCGAGAAGTAGCGTGGAGTAGGCCGAGCGTCGCGTTTGATGGCAGCACGGAGGCCGAGGCGAGTGGCGATGTCATTCTGCACGTGCCGGCGTTGCCGTCAACCGATCGACGCAGTATCGCGGCTCCATCGGCCTGGAGCACAGCGACGGCGTGCGAGAGCCTTCGGTGGATGAGGACAGACCGGTGGGGAAAGCAGGCGAGGACGAGGGACGTCATCTCGCGCTATTTCAACGCTGCTGTGGTAGTATCGTAGTGGCACTGCTCGTGTCCACGGCCACCGTGTCGGCTCCGGTCGGTCGTTGGGGGCAGTGATGTGAACAAGAAGCGCTGTGTGCGCTGAAACCGGCATGTCGCCGGCATAGACGTGCTGGTCGGAATGATGTTGGCGGGAAGCCACGTCGAGAAGTAGCGTGGAGTAGGTTGAGCGTCGCGTTTGATGGCAGCACGGAGGCCGAGGCGAGTGGCGATGTCATTCTGCACGTGCCGGCGTTGCCGTCAACCGATCGACGCAGTATCGCGGCTCCATCGGCCTGGAGCACAGCGACGGCGTGCGAGAGCCTTCGGTGGATGAGGACAGACCGGTGGGGAAAGCAGGCGAGGACGAGGGACGTCATCTCGCGCTATTTCAACGCTGCTGTGGTAGTATCGTGGTGGCACTGCTCGTGTCCACGGCCACCGAGCCGGCTCCGGTCGGTCGTTGGGGGCAGTGATGTGAACAAGAAGCGCTGTGTGCGCTGAAACCGGCATGTCGCCGGCATAGACGTGCTGGTCGGAATGATGTTGGCGGGAAGCCACGTCGAGAAGTAGCGTGGAGTAGGCCGAGCGTCGCGTTTGATGGCAGCACGGAGGCCGAGGCGAGTGGCGATGTCATTCTGCACGTGCCGGCGTTGCCGTCAACCGATCGACGCAGTATCGCGGCTCCATCGGCCTGGAGCACAGCGACGGCGTGCGAGAGCCTTCGGTGGATGAGGACAGACCGGTGGGGAAAGCAGGCGAGGACGAGGGACGTCATCTCGCGCTATTTCAACGCTGCTGTGGTAGTATCGTGGTGGCACTGCTCGTGTCCACGGCCATCGAGCCGGCTCCGGTCGGTCGTTGGGGGCAGTGATGTGAACAAAAAGCGCTGTGTGCGCTGAAACCGGCATGTCGCCGGCACAGACGTGCTGGTCGGAATGATGTTGGCGGGAAGCCACGTCGAGAAGTAGCGTGGAGTAGGCCGAGCGTCGCGTTTGATGGCAGCACGGAGGCCGAGGCGAGTGGCGATGTCATTCTGCACGTGCCGGCGTTGCCGTCAACCGATCGACGCAGTATCGCGGCTCCATCGGCCTGGAGCACAGCGACGGCGTGCGAGAGCCTTCGGTGGATGAGGACAGACCGGTGGGGAAAGCAGGCGAGGACGAGGGACGTCATCTCGCGCTATTTCAACGCTGCTGTGGTAGTATCGTGGTGGCACTGCTCGTGTCCACGGCCACCGTGTCGGCTCCGGTCGGTCGTTGGGGGCAGTGATGTGAACAAGAAGCGCTTTGTGCGCTGAAACCGGCATGTCGCCGGCATAGACGCGCTGGTCGGAATGATGTTGGCGGGAAGCCACGTCGAGAAGTAGCGTGGAGTAGGCCGAGCGTCGCGTTTGATGGCAGCACGGAGGCCGAGGCGAGTGGCGATGTCATTCTGCACGTGCCGGCGTTGCCGTCAACCGATCGACGCAGTATCGCGGCTCCATCGGCCTGGAGCACAGCGACGGCGTGCGAGAGCCTTCGGTGGATGAGGACAGACCGGTGGGGAAAGCAGGCGAGGACGAGGGACGTCATCTCGCGCTATTTCAACGCTTCTGTGGTAGTATCGTGGTGGCACTGCTCGTGTCCACGGCCACCGTGTCGGCTCCGGTCGGTCGTTGGGGGCAGTGATGTGAACAAGAAGCGCTGTGTGCGCTGAAACCGGCATGTCGCCGGCATAGACGTGCTGGTCGGAATGATGTTGGCGGGAAGCCACGTCGAGAAGTAGCGTGGAGTAGGCCGAGCGTCGCGTTTGATGGCAGCACGGAGGCCGAGGCGAGTGGCGATGTCATTCTGCACGTGCCGGCGTTGCCGTCAACCGATCGACGCAGTATCGCGGCTCCATCGGCCTGGAGCACAGCGACGGCGTGCGAGAGCCTTCGGTGGATGAGGACAGACCGGTGGGGAAAGCAGGCGAGGACGAGGGACGTCATCTCGCGCTATTTCAACGCTTCTGTGGTAGTATCGTGGTGGCACTGCTCGTGTCCACGGCCACCGTGTCGGCTCCGGTCGGTCGTTGGGGGCAGTGATGTGAACAAGAAGCGCTTTGTGCGCTGAAACCGGCATGTCGCCGGCACAGACGTGCTGATCGGAATGATGTTGGCGGGAAGCCACGTCGAGAAGTAGCGTGGAGTAGGCCGAGCGTCGCGTTTGATGGCAGCACGGAGGCCGAGGCGAGTGGCGATGTCATTCTGCACGTGCCGGCGTTGCCGTCAACCGATCGACGCAGTATCGCGGCTCCATCGGCCTGGAGCACAGCGACGGCGTGCGAGAGCCTTCGGTGGATGAGGACAGACCGGTGGGGAAAGCAGGCGAGGACGAGGGACGTCATCTCGCGCTATTTCAACGCTGCTGTGGTAGTATCGTAGTGGCACTGCTCGTGTCCACGGCCACCGTGTCGGCTCCGGTCGGTCGTTGGGGGCAGTGATGTGAACAAGAAGCGCTTTGTGCGCTGAAACCGGCATGTCGCCGGCATAGACGTGCTGGTCGGAATGATGTTGGCGGGAAGCCACGTCGAGAAGTAGCGTGGAGTAGGCCGAGCGTCGCGTTTGATGGCAGCACGGAGGCCGAGGCGAGTGGCGATATCATTCCGCACGTGCCGGCGTTGCCGTCAACCGATCGACGCAGTATCGCGGCTCCATCGGCCTGGAGCACAGCGACGGCGTGCGAGAGCCTTCGGTGGATGAGGACAGACCGGTGGGGAAAGCAGGCGAGGACGAGGGACGTCATCTCGCGCTATTTCAACGCTGCTGTGGTAGTATCGTAGTGGCACTGGTCGTGTCCACGGCCACCGAGCCGGCTCCGGTCGGTCGTTGGGGGCAGTGATGTGAACAAGAAGCGCTTTGTGCGCTGAAACCGGCATGTCGCCGGCATAGACGTGCTGGTCGGAATGATGTTGGCGGGAAGCCACGTCGAGAAGTAGGCCGAGCGTCGCGTTTGATGGCAGCACGGAGGCCGAGGCGAGTGGCAATGCCATTCTGTACGAGCCGGCGTTGCCGACAACCTACCGACGCAGTATCGCGGCTCCATCGGCCTGGAGCACAGCGACGGCGTGCGAGAGCCTTCGGTGGATGAGGACAGACCGGTGGGGAAAGCAGGCGAGGACGAGGGACGTCATCTCGCGCTATTTCAACGCTGCTGTGGTAGTATCGTAGTGGCACTGCTCGTGTCCACGGCCACCGAGCCGGCTCCGGTCGGTCGTTGGGGGCAGTGATGTGAACAAGAAGCGCTTTGTGCGCTGAAACCGGCATGTCGCCGGCATAGACGTGCTGGTCGGAATGATGTTGGCGGGAAGCCACGTCGAGAAGTAGCGTGGAGTGGGCCGAGCGTCGCGTTTGATGGCAGCACGGAGGCCGAGGCGAGTGGCGATGTCATTCTGCACGTGCCGGCGTTGCCGTCAACCGATCGACGCAGTATCGCGGCTCCATCGGCCTGGAGCACAGCGACGGCGTGCGAGAGCCTTCGGTGGATGAGGACAGACCGGTGGGGAAAGCAGGCGAGGACGAGGGACGTCATCTCGCGCTATTTCAACGCTGCTGGGGTAGTATCGTGGTGGCACTGCTCGTGTCCACGGCCACCGAGCCGGCTCCGGTCGGTCGTTGGGGGCAGTGATGTGAACAAGAAGCGCTTTGTGCGCTGAAACCGGCATGTCGCCGGCATAGACGTGCTGGTCGGAATGATGTTGGCGGGAAGCCACGTCGAGAAGTAGGCCGAGCGTCGCGTTTGATGGCAGCACGGAGGCCGAGGCGAGTGGCAATGCCATTCTGTACGAGCCGGCGTTGCCGACAACCTACCGACGCAGTATCGCGGCTCCATCGGCCTGGAGCACAGCGACGGCGTGCGAGAGCCTTCGGTGGATGAGGACAGACCGGTGGGGAAAGCAGGCGAGGACGAGGGACGTCATCTCGCGCTATTTCAACGCTGCTGTGGTAGTATCGTAGTGGCACTGCTCGTGTCCACGGCCACCGAGCCGGCTCCGGTCGGTCGTTGGGGGCGCAGTGATGTGAACAAGAAGCGCTTTGTGCGCTGAAACCGGCATGTCGCCGGCATAGACGTGCTGGTCGGAATGATGTTGGCGGGAAGCCACGTCGAGAAGTAGCGTGGAGTAGGCCGAGCGTCGCGTTTGATGGCAGCACGGAGGCCGAGGCGAGTGGCGATGTCATTCTGCACGTGCCGGCATTGCCGTCAACCGATCGACGCAGTATCGCGGCTCCATCGGCCTGGAGCACAGCGACGGCGTGCGAGAGCCTTCGGTGGATGAGGACAGACCGGTGGGGAAAGCAGGCGAGGACGAGGGACGTCATCTCGCGCTATTTCAACGCTGCTGTGGTAGTATCGTAGTGGCACTGCTCGTGTCCACGGCCACCGAGCCGGCTCCGGTCGGTCGTCGGGGGCGCAGTGATGTGAACAAGAAGCGCTTTGTGCGCTGAAACCGGCATGTCGCCGGCATAGACGTGCTGGTCGGAATGATGTTGGCGGGAAGCCACGTCGAGAAGTAGCGTGGAGTGGGCCGAGCGTCGCGTTTGATGGCAGCACGGAGGCCGAGGCGAGTGGCGATGTCATTCTGCACGTGCCGGCGTTGCCGTCAACCGATCGACGCAGTATCGCGGCTCCGTCGGCCTGGAGCACAGCGACGGCGTGCGAGAGCCTTCGGTGGATGAGGACAGACCGGTGGGGAAAGCAGGCGAGGACGAGGGACGTCATCTCGCGCTATTTCAACGCTGCTGGGGTAGTATCGTGGTGGCACTGCTCGTGTCCACGGCCACCGAGCCGGCTCCGGTCGGTCGTTGGGGGCAGTGATGTGAACAAGAAGCGCTTTGTGCGCTGAAACCGGCATGTCGCCGGCATAGACGTGCTGGTCGGAATGATGTTGGCGGGAAGCCACGTCGAGAAGTAGGCCGAGCGTCGCGTTTGATGGCAGCACGGAGGCCGAGGCGAGTGGCAATGCCATTCTGTACGAGCCGGCGTTGCCGACAACCTACCGACGCAGTATCGCGGCTCCATCGGCCTGGAGCACAGCGACGGCGTGCGAGAGCCTTCGGTGGATGAGGACAGACCGGTGGGGAAAGCAGGCGAGGACGAGGGACGTCATCTCGCGCTATTTCAACGCTGCTGTGGTAGTATCGTAGTGGCACTGCTCGTGTCCACGGCCACCGAGCCGGCTCCGGTCGGTCGTTGGGGGCGCAGTGATGTGAACAAGAAGCGCTTTGTGCGCTGAAACCGGCATGTCGCCGGCATAGACGTGCTGGTCGGAATGATGTTGGCGGGAAGCCACGTCGAGAAGTAGCGTGGAGTAGGCCGAGCGTCGCGTTTGATGGCAGCACGGAGGCCGAGGCGAGTGGCGATGTCATTCTGCACGTGCCGGCATTGCCGTCAACCGATCGACGCAGTATCGCGGCTCCATCGGCCTGGAGCACAGCGACGGCGTGCGAGAGCCTTCGGTGGATGAGGACAGACCGGTGGGGAAAGCAGGCGAGGACGAGGGACGTCATCTCGCGCTATTTCAACGCTGCTGTGGTAGTATCGTAGTGGCACTGCTCGTGTCCACGGCCACCGAGCCGGCTCCGGTCGGTCGTCGGGGGCGCAGTGATGTGAACAAGAAGCGCTTTGTGCGCTGAAACCGGCATGTCGCCGGCATAGACGTGCTGGTCGGAATGATGTTGGCGGGAAGCCACGTCGAGAAGTAGCGTGGAGTAGGCCGAGCGTCGCGTTTGATGGCAGCACGGAGGCCGAGGCGAGTGGCGATGTCATTCTGCACGTGCCGGCGTTGCCGTCAAACGATCGACGCAGTATCGCGGCTCCATCGGCCTGGAGCACAGCGACGGCGTGCGAGAGCCTTCGGTGGATGAGGACAGACCGGTGGGGAAAGCAGGCGAGGACGAGGGACGTCATCTCGCGCTATTTCAACGCTGCTGTGGTAGTATCGTGGTGGCACTGCTCGTGTCCACGGCCACCGAGCCGGCTCCGGTCGGTCGTTGGGGGCAGTGATGTGAACAAGAAGCGCTTTGTGCGCTGAAACCGGCATGTCGCCGGCATAGACGTGCTGGTCGGAATGATGTTGGCGGGAAGCCACGTCGAGAAGTAGCGTGGAGTAGGCCGAGCATCGCGTTTGATGACAGCACGGAGGCCGAGGCGAGTGGCGATGCCAGTCTGTACGTGCCGGCGTTGCCGTCAACCGACTGACGCAATACCGCGGCTCCATCGGCCTGGAGCACAGTGACGGCGTGCGAGAGCCTTACGAGGTTATACGGGGGATTCGCTATACAGCGGACGGCGAACTCAAGGTCTTGATGAACTGGCCCAATACACTGGAGCCACTTTCGAACTTGGTACCTGCGGACCGAGAGCAGATTGAGCGTGCTAACGGTAATGCAGGCAACTAACACGCTTCAAATACATATCATTTGCTTTTTCCTCTAGCTACGTGTTTCTTTTATTTTTCAAAGATATTCAACACCGTCCTAGCCAACGTGTTTGATGTGTGCTTACCAGCATAAGCTGCGCAGTGTAGTACGCAGCTTCAAATATTACTCAACACAATCGAGCTCACTATGGAAACGCCAAAGTCATGTTCCCCGTTCTGCTGCTTGAACAGAGAGAGGTTCACTGTTGGGGAGGCGGTAAAGGAAGCTTGTGTCGTGGGGCTCTAGGTCCCTCGTCACTCAGATCAGTTGTATAATACAACAACGACATCTTTAGTTGTAAACGATTTATTTGATTTAGCTTTACGACTTTAATGTCCTGCGCAGGATGCTAGCGGACGACATGACGCTATTCTCCCTCCACAACCGTACCAGAAGGCGTCATGACAGCAAATGGGTCCTTGACTTACGATTTCGGGAGGTTTTGGGCGGATAGTTCGTCTACCGCTTCTGTCACGCTGACCGCGAGTTCTGCTTGATCAGCCACCCACTTGTTGTAGTATCCTTTCCACACTTCCACGTAGCTCTCACAGGCTTCGTGAGACTCCTGCGCCAGTTCGAGCTGGTTCCCGACAACTTCAGCCTCTGCTGACACATCCAGGTGAAGACGCTTCAGATGACGGCAGAGTCGATCTTCTCCAGTGGCCGTGACGATACTGAAGAAGAACTGCGTGACTTGTTTCGACTGATAATTGTAGTCGCCGGCGTCCACACAAAGTCTTCATAGAACTCGCGCCATCGGAGGATAGCACTTTCCGTCGCTTCTTGGCCCTAGTGAAACATCAACATCAATCTATAATATTGTCATTGCCACATATTCAACGTAGTAATAGATCAGAGACTTACCTGATTCTCGAGACTCCTCTTCACCACGAGCTTTCCCGACTCTTTCACTTGATGCCGTACCTTGTCCAGGTCAGCCCCAGCGAGAAACCGAGTCGGGCCACGGCAACCCTCTTCCTTCATCTGGCCTAGTGTACCTTCGAAAGTACCTGGTAAAAGCTTCAATTGAGCCGAGTCTCCCAGCTCCGATATCACAAATCGCACTCCTTGTTGCGAAGCGACTAGTGCAGTCGATACCGCAACGTTTGCCCTACCAACAATGCCCAACAGCTCACCAAGACTGCTGCAGCAACTTGTCAGTCGATTGCTCATTTCATGCGAGTTCGAGACGATGCCTGCGACCAGCGAGTTCATGTCTTGCAGTAGCTGTATCAGATTAGTTTCCCGCTCTCTCGAAGCTTGAGTCGCAGCACGCACTTGCTTGAGCTCCTTCTGCAACGTCGTGATCGTCTCAATAGCTTTTTGGAACCTCTCTTTGAGCATCTGGTTTTCCTTGACACGCTCACTGTTCTTGTCCACTTCTGCCCTGAATCGAATCCCGTCGGTCTCGCGCTGGTGTTTCTCGTCTTTGAGAGCATTCTCTGCCTCCAGAGCACGCTTGGACATCTCATCCAGCTTGGCTTGCAGGTTTCGGACTTGCACGTTCGCATTCTCCTCTGCTCTCTCAGCCTTCGCCTTTGCCTCTCGAAGCAGCTGAGCTACCTCGGTGTCTTGCTTGTCGTTCTTGTCCTCTTTGTTCTTGATCATGCTGAAATACTGCTGAGTGAGCAGGTAATTTTTGTCGGCCATGTTCTCAGCCTTCCTCGTCGAATGTATCAGGCGCTCGCGCTCGCGTTCGAGGTCATTCACTCTCTCTCGTAGTTTAGCAACCTCGGCGTCACGATCTCCGGTGGGGGAGCTCGCTTTAGATGATCCCATTGCTTGAACGACACGCGGGAGGGGGAGGTAGTGGGGAGGCGCGCGGGTGGGGTGGGGGGGGGGGGGGGGCGAGACGATGGCGTGCAGGACGACAGGGGGGAGGATTCGCACTGGATTCGCAAAAACTGGCTACGAAGCCACACACCTTGTTACCTATCCCTATAATTTACTGAATATAGAAAACCCGCGAGATATTGCTTGTAGCAGCATCCGACATGTTTCATGAACGCTTAGGTGTTATTCTTGCCACAATGTCGGAGGTGCATGTAGGAGGTATGTCAGCTGAAACGACAAAAAATGATACAATGATCTGTTTTATGCAGATTCATACAAAAATCGATATACGAGTATGTATGAGCCTCCGACAAGCAAACAATCTTGCTTCCACGGAGATGAGCACGGGGAATGAGGGGTAAATATGAGTGGACACGAGATAGGCGAGGGCTGATTTAGCTTTATGCTTTGCTGGGGGGCCGCTTTTAGGCCCAGAAACTCGGTTTGGCCCGTCTAGAATGGCATTTCTGCGTTTCCAAGTCGTAGAAAAGCGCCTTGGTTGAGAAAACAGAGCCCCAAGCTCGGATCTTAGACCGTACTGGCGAGATATATAAATCAGACCTAGGTCTTAATTAAGAGCTGGCTGGATTAAAATCGAGATTATTAACGAGATAATAAGCATGCGTTGGCCAAAATATCTTCAAACGGCAATCATTCTTGCCAACAACGTATCTTGCTACTGTCATTTTCATCAATTGATTTCTGAAGCCTTATTATCAGAAATGGCTCCAAGTCGGGCTCGCATACAAAACTTACTTGCGATTTGAACATGTTTCGCTGAGATCGAGCCATTATTGCTGGTAAATACCAGTTTCAGAGGTGTACTTTTGACTAATTCGACCTGTGTACTCCCCCGGAGCATTCGCTTCGGGTCGCCTATATCTGGTAGGTATGTTTGCTTTGTGATAGCGCATTACGCAGACATTGAGTGCCCCGATCGCACCAAACCTGCTATTTTAATAGCTATTAATAGCTATTAAAATAGCTCTATGCACGAGTGAGTTGCGTGGGCCTTTTTGCGAGCACAATTCATACAGCGACGCTGTAACAGCGTAAAGATCTCTCCCGAGCTCTATATTATTTTAAAGAGTTAAAACTGCATTGCCTCTTCGCTATAGTATGTACAGTGCCCCTCTTCGATACAACTAAAGGCATTTTGTTCATGAGTCTTCGGGAGCGCCGCCAATAGATGCACATGGACGAGGAGAACGTGTGGACACATCCGCCGATGACTCGGAGGATCCGACGGCGACGGGAATGCCGGCGGCAGCCGGGCTCTGGATATACCATTGGCTGGTCAGGGAGACCCAAGTATACTGAGATCAAGTCAATCGGAACCCGGGAGTAATCCGTCTGATGAGAGGCACCAACGAGCACAAGGAGAACAAGAAGGAAAGCAGGAGGGGAAGACTAGAGAGTAGTTTGAGAGACGATAACATTTAATCTCACTTTGGAATTTGCCCCCTCAACCACAACCTAAAAACCAACACATTTAAAAGGGCGTACGAGTTGAGGTTTGACTAATGGATTGATAAAACACAGTCGCTGAGTTTAAACTACATGTGCTGGCAGTGCGCCATCAGCAAAACATTATCCGAAACTAGCCAGCCTCCATATGAGCTGGCGACTTGTTCTTCTCCGGCGCAGGGATAAGCGGCATAACGCGATGCAAGGTACTGCTGATGCGTTTTCGGTCTCTCTAAATATACATGTATGTACAACTTCGAGTCATGCGGTTCAGCTCTTTTATGCTCGCTGCGACTATCGCTTTCATTGTCTGCTGCATTGTCGTCTCTTCCTCCAGTACTGCAAAGTCTCCAACCCCCAAGACGGCTTCCTCACACTTTGTGAGCTCGACCGGTGCTGCTTTGGAGAGTGGCAGGCTCTTGAGAGCCAGCGTGGTCGGCCATCGGAGCAGTAACTACGAAGAGAGAGCGAACGCTTTTTCGAAGGCCTACTACGAGAAGCTGCTGGAGTTTCTGTCAATACTGACCGGAAAAAAGAAGGCGCCGGTTGATTTGACCGGAACCTACCCGTCTTCTCCGAAGGCCGACAAACTGACAAGGTCTAAGTCATTTCCGGATGAGAAAGCTGCGTCGCCGAAGTTGACGAGATCCCAAACGTACTCGACTGAGACAGTTGACTGGGATGGCGCCATTAAAGCAGCGGGGAACATTAAAGTTATGTCCAGAAAACCGAAGCGTTGTTTCTTATGTGGGCCAGAGAAGTACGTGATCTATTCTTGAGATCCACCCAAAACAAATATGTAACTTCCTGGAAGATCTCTGTATCGGGTCCTGAAGACCCAGCACGGACCAGACCCACCGGTGTTCCAAAACAAAGTCTACCCGAGCTCCTAACACACCAGCACACTGCCATACTTGTAATCCGTTCAAACATGCTTACAAGTCGATATCCCTGCGCCTGGGCCTCAAGATTCGACTTCCATCTTGTTGTTACCTCCGGCTCTCTTCGCCGCGGCAGCGTTGGTCTTGTTCAGCAGCTCGTGGTTGGCCTGCGCCACTGTGTTCTGCAGGTGGGCCTGCATGGGTTCGAACGGGTCACTCTTGAAATGGTCACGCCGAACATACCGATGAGGTATTCAAAGACTACCCCAGTCACTCGGGAGTGGCTTCATACTCGCCCCCCGGCACCACATTCCGCTAATCTCACCAGCAGAAGAACGATTGAGTCGACGTAAAGCACAGGCGAAAATAATTATATAATTTTCTTTTCCGAGCTGTAGATGAAAACAAATTATTGATAGTCAAGTTGCGGTCAAGTTTGAAGACCATCAAACTGTTTGCAGCGAAATCTGTCTCCTTTATTGGTCGGCTTTGTCAGTATTGACGAGTGACCCAGTCTTAGTGCTGTGGCGATGAGGAGAAATACATTCTTCTTTTGTCGCGATCAACCCGCTTCAAAACCGACAAGAGCACAACGCCTGACATCAAGCCGGACGTCGTAAAAAGGCTTGCTGAGATGTCTTCGGTCGAAAAGGCAACGGGCGCTAAGACTTTCGCATGAAACGAGGTCACACCCAGCTACGGAAACAGCGCCTCTGTCAGCAGACCATCGCTTTCAGCGAGGAGGCCCGCCGAATCGTCAGCTACAGACGGTCAATTGACACGCGGCACGGGGCTTTTTAAGGACCAAGGATGTGTCCAAACAAAACTGAAAGTAGTTCAGCCAAATGGCGACGATAAGTCAAACGCTCTAGCATCATTTGTGGTCTACTAGTACAGCTGTATACCTTGTTCGCACTGAGAGTTCGCAATGAGATCTACTGTAGAAGGTAATCCACCGCGTTGTGTATTTTAATACTATTAAAATATTATAATATAATGGCGTGGTGTACGGCTGGATTCGACATCATTTACGGATGTTGTGGCTGCGAGGCTGGCGCAGGAGTTGTCCTGGCTGCTTTGATTGCTGTGAAACAATACTATACTAAGTATTCTTTAACAAACAATGACAATTCTAGATTCCAGAGCTTTTTGGGCGGTGTACGCCATCTCACGTCTCCAGGTTGGTGTGTTTTTCTCTGGACGCGGAGCGAGAACCACGACGTCGATGGCCAACAAATGCCAGGTGGATGCACCACAATGCACATCCTGGTGGAAATGGCATGAGAGAGCAACTCGCGAGGTTCGAGAATAATGTGTGAATGGGCTTGAGGATCAGAGTCGCGCTGGACCAGGACCAAATACGGCATGCCGCAGGTGTATGGGACACCGGCAATAACGTTAAGGGGTGAGCTGCAAGCAAATATACGGCCTCGGCTCATGAACGTAGTACTAGTACTTAAGTAATATGAGAGAGACTTGGATATAGGTACCGGCAGGATGCGCATACTGTAGCCAAGTGAATGTTACTTTTTTTTCACGCGGGGTAAAATCAACCAAACTATCTGTCAGTAGCCGCTTGTACGTACTAATACGTACTTTACGAACGAGTGGTTTTCGCCTTCAATGGAAATTATTGATGAGCCAGTTGGTGTATCCGCGCAGGACCTTGTTGTCGGCATTGGCAAACGTTAACTTTAGATTCTCGGTGACCTTCTCGAGGCTGAAATTCTTTTTCCACGCCCAGAACAGAGACTGAGCGTAGTCGACGTCAGTCCTCGCTTTGAGGAGCATCGACTCCTTGAACAACAGCGGCTCATTCGCCAGCTTGAGTGTGTCCGGATGCGGGAAGTGGACGTTGAGCCAGATCACGTAGTCCACGTATAACCTGTCCAAGGTGTTGTCGAAATCCTTTCGGCCCAAAGCATTCAGCTGTTTGAACACAGCCTCGCTTTCGTAGTTGTGGGTCTTCCACTCCTTGAACAACGTCCTCTTGTAGTTGCCATCTTTGATCGCCACTTCGAGCTTTGCCTTGTTGAACAGGTCGTCTCCACCCGAAGGTTTGACACCTGGGAGGCGTGAGAAGTGCGTATCGAGCCAAGCAGCGTATTTGAGGTAGATAGCGTTGAGTTTCTCGTTCTTCGCGTATCGGGAGACGTCCAGTATGCTTTTTGCTTTTTCAATGTCGTAACCGTGACGCTTCCACCTCTTCATCAGAGTCTCAGCGTACTTGGAGTCATCCATCGCTCTCTTGAGCTTCGCAGCGTGGAACAGTTTATCACCGGCCAATCTATCTTCGTCGACTTCACCCACGCTTTCGAGGCCGCGCAGAAATCTCGTGGCGCTGTGGCTCACAGCTAGCACGTCGAGGTCCGGGGACGCCATCGTGGAGGCCATCGTGGAGACCTTCGCGTCCTCGCTGGCACCCGCGACGGCAGCGAGAGCGCTATCGCTCGCGAGAACCGTGAGCGCAGACACTGCCAAGAGGATGGAGGGCAGTCGCATGGTCAATTCGATTCCTGGAATCGCGGAAAGTAAGCACCTGTGGGCTGGAGGGCGAATAACAGAATGTGAGTTAGGAAGTGAAGAGCGGCCGATGCGATGCCCGCCCACCTTGGGAAACGCGATTCACGAACAGTACAAAGCGCGCTTTGAAAGCAGACGCTCCATGCAAATGCCACAAAAAACCAGCAAAACGCTCTTGCAAGCTGGCTCATTTTGCAGTAAACAAGTCGCGATGTAATGCATGGTACAGTACAGACGACCCCCCCCCCCAGTACAGATGACCACGGAAAAATACGCCAGCACTGACCACTATCCTCCAAAATATACGCCAGTTGAGCTGATTGGTCAAAAGTGAGGTCGAAATCCTAGAGAAAGGTCAATAATGTAGAAAAAGACGACATGGAAGTTACGGTCGTGACAAAGAAAAGGTGGAGTGTATTGTTGTGACTACAAGAATTCCAGAGCTTCAAAGTGCTGAGGAAGCGCCTTTTCAAAACTCTCAACTACAATGTCCTCATCAAGGCTGTTCTAGGCTATGATAGTGCGCTCGATAATATCAAGGCGCTTTTCTTTTGCCGTTTTGGGGCTTTTGCAGTAAGCCCATGTACTGCGCAGGGCCGACTTCAGCGGGCCCATCACGCTTACGTCGAGGGGCTGGCAAGTGGACGTGGTGTTCGCTGGCAACGGGTCCACCACAGCGAACACTTTCCATGCCATGCTTCGCGGTGCTCTCCGTGCCAGTAATTTTTTGTAGTAATGGTTGGTAAGACATACGAGCTCGTGTTCGTCTGATTGGCTAAAATACAAACATTGTTTTGTATCGGATCAGAAGTCGGGACTTGTCGCATGGCGAATTTTTTGGTGGAGCGTATTTTTCCATCGTTATCTGTAATGGCACCAGGTTTCGATAGGATTCGAGAGGGGAATACATGTATTAATACATGTATGTCGATCAACACAAACATACCAGGTAATGTTGTATGGACGAAAACCCGCTTGGAAATAGACGAGGTACTCTTGTACATAAGGGTAGACACCTTGCACTGTTTGTTTCACAGTAGATTACTGTTTTAGCCAATAAAAATCCGAATTTTGTTTCTGGTAGTGTAACACCACACAAATCCAAGACTTAGTCTCACTAAGAAAATCATCCCATAACCTATTTGAACTAATCATGAATCTGTATTGAAACGGCTGTTTATAAGGCGTACAGTGACCAGTCGTTTCCCGCTGGCTGTTGCATTCTGTCCGTCGGTGTACAGTACTACAGTACAGTAGGTATAATAGTTCGTAGTAGGGAACTTGAAGAAGCCGGGCGGGCTTTGCTTGGATCCAGGGAAATGGACAAAGCATCAACCTTAAGAAAATCGTCGCTTGATAATAAAAGGACATACAAAATACCCCCCTAACGAGGTAATCTTGCGCGCAATTTGCACGGTGCAATGCCCCTAAGCGCAGCGTCAAGCAGGGCGGCTGGCGCAGCAGCATTAACTCAAACCCGAAGTGCCTATTGAATGGACACACGTGGAAGGTCATGTTGTGAGTAGCCTAGCTAAGCGTGCTACCCGGCGACCTTGCTCAGGAATACAGTGCCAGTCCAAAACGGATGGGATATAAACTAGTGATGTGCTATCTTGTGGATCGCACTCTTCGTTGGGCAAAAGCAAAAAGGAGTCGTAAATTTCTACATGTATTTCGAAGTACTGTACAGTATTGTCATTCACCACGTATTACATGTATTTATATTATAATCGTACCTTATACTGGGATAGGAAGCGACGAAGTGCTTAAGTCTTCTGTCTGCACAGCCCTAAAAAGGCTGCTCAAACCGATGAGCGGGCATGGATGGGATTCGTGCAGATAACGAAATATACCTCGGTAACACCGAAAAGGATAAAGTATATTTGATATAATACCATAAGAGATGTGGGGTATGATGTAGGTAATCATACTGAGAGCAAAATAATTTGCCATGATATTATTGAGCCCCATCTCGATAATGCTGACAAGCACCCAAGCTCCATTCTATTCAAACGAACAGCACTAGCAGGTCTAAAAGCCGGCTCTCAAAGCTAATGCGATCGTTAAATACGATATGAAATACGATAAGAAAACATGGACAATAGGAGCTGCTGGTTAGACTACTCCAGACGTCCTGTACAAAGTGGAATTTTTCCGATAGTTAAGCACCCCAGAACATTCATATTCCGTGATTTTCTATTACTTATGACTATTGAGGGGTGAGGGGTACTTGAAACAATTGGCGGGAACCCGGGTACCCATCGGGACCCCGGTTCCCCCAAAACTACCGGTACACATGTATGAGCAAATGCATTGAAGTGTTGGTCTATGACCTACATAGAACGCAGCTAAAGCTCAGTAGGGGAACGAAAGGTTAATTTACCTTCGCCCTCGTCCTGTGTCTCTCCACGAAAATCCAGTCGCTTGCCTGGTGCAGCGGTACAGTGCTTCCCGGTCTCATCGCTATCCTCCTGCTCATGAAAGATAAACTTGGACATGGTAAGGTATGTTATTTGGGTCTTTTCAGTACCGGTGGCATATTTTGAGAGTAGTCCTTCATCGACAGCACTTAGATATGAGGGTTTAACTTGCCCAGAGGGTACCAATATGGAGGCCAAAAATTAAATAAATAATTCGCGATTTGGTCGGTATCATTTGCGGGAACGCGGGTTCCCGCCAATTGTTTCACTTGGCACGGTCATTCAGAAATCGTTGGCACCCGCCTTTATATTCCTGATGAGCGGGTATTCCTCACCTAGGGATTACTACCGAGGGGATCGTCTGTATCTGTTATGCAGGCTTGCTTTTCAATTAGGGGCTCCGTCTACTGGGAGCCTTCCAAAACCTGCATTTCATCGACATAAAATGTTTCTCTAAATTCATATCTACATATAAACTGTGCAGAGGTCGATATATGTGAGAGGTCGGGCTTTATGCCTTCAAGTTGCTAAATGAGGGATGTGTATACTTTAATCAAGTTAAAATTTACGTAGTTGCACAATGAGGGGGGCGACGTGACCCTTCGTTTATTCAGACGTAATTTACGTCTCATCAGAATAAGTTTTCTTAAATCCGTTTATGCAGAAGTTTAATACGGTTTTGGAAGGCTTCCACTGCACAATCGACGAATAAGCGCACCCGATGAGGTGAATTTCATAATTCTAACCTATGTTATCATGTACCTATCCCAGCCTTCGCGAAGCCCTAGCACTGGGATAGGAATCAACGTTAGAGCTGCGCTATCGCAGACCAAATCGTATTGAGCAGGGTACGGATGAACGAATTGAAGTAAAGAGAACGATTGAGGCGAACTGTAATAGCATTAGAGATAGGCATTTGCATATTCAAGAAGAAAAAATCTACATGCAGCAAACAGATCTCAGCCAAGGTTCGTATTCTCTGAAATTTAATTCAGAGCTATGGGAGGATCCAGGTGGAGGTCTAAACATCCGGTAATTTATTTGGCAAAAGATATAATATATCTTTAAACATTTTGCAAGGCACAATATATACCTATATTATAGGTATATATTGTGCCTTGCAAAAATTTTGGCAATTCCGATGCTCAGAAGTAGGATGTATCGGGTCTGATATAATTTGCAGCTCAGAGATAAAGCCGAGGGACTCCAGGTGAAGGTAGATTAAGCTTGTTAAACCTCGGTCGAGCTGATCAAGCAGGTCGGAATTGCCATTTTAAATCGGCCAAAACGACCGCCCTCCCGATATGTCGGATGCTGCCCTCGTGCTGTCGCGCTAAATCGGATGACTCACTCGTTGGGCTCTGGTGCTACCACACACACCAGAACACTATTATTGTAAGGAGCATTTGCCGGGCTGGCGCCGCTAGCTTCAGCTCTGGTTTCGGCAGCAGCGTTGCGTCACATTCAAAAATTGATTGAGATTTGCCGTCACGCTACAATTTTAATTGTACAATGTAGGCATTGAATTGTATTCTTGTGCCTTGTATAGGAGTCTGTATGGACCATTTGATTGGCTACCCACGCACATACAGTTATCAAGTCAACTGTCTTGTACAATACAATAAAATCATTGCAGCCAATTTTCTAATTGTAATTTTTGACCCCAATTTTATCAATAGTTTTATTGCAATTTTTATTTACGCAACGCTGTCTGTCATCGATGAGCTAGAGACCAAGTCCAATCATGCGGACAGTAGAGACGTATGCAGAAGAATGTAAGATAAATGGACAAATACCACATAATCTTGTTCAAGGAACTCCCTACTGTGCATCGCTTTCTATTGTACTACTACTAGCTTAGCAGATACGGCTACAAGTACCTTGGCCTGGTCGCGCCGGGGCAGGTCCACCAGCCGCTGCGTGTCGACTGCCACCCCACCAAGCCCGCAAAGCCCACGCCACTCTTGTCCGACACCTTGTTCTCTTTGTACGCCATTCCAGGTGCGTTCGTGCTCGTAGACCGCAACTCTTGGTAGCGCTCCTGGACGACGTTTTGTTCGCCGTTTTGGCGTAGCCCAGCAGCTCCTCCTAGTGGCGCAGGCCTCGTCGTGCCGTCGCTAGAACAGCAGCTTTACGGAGGCCGCCGCGACCTACGGGACGCTGGCCAAGAGCAGCGGTGACTACGAGAGCGGCGGCGACGGCAACAGTGAGCTTGACGATGCACTTGAACACCTTGAAGGTCCAGTCCGTCTGCTCGCTCTGCAGCGCCAGCATCTGCTCCAGCGCCTCGAAGGCCGCCGCGCGCTCTGGGCGTTCTTGATGCGCACGTGCAGGCCCGTGGGCTCGGCATCCTCCATGTCCTTGCCCTCGTCGAAGTCATACTTACCAGACATACTTACCGGGTGGCCCTCAGACACTACCCTGCCGGTGACAGGAACGCGCCTACGTAAGGCTCACTGCGTCGTCGCTTTTAAAGCATCCTGTCCCTACAGCAATCTGTAGCAAACACACAAGCAGCATCATCGCTTGTCGGTAGCATCTAGCAGTAAGTAGGCAGGTTCAGGGAGCTTAGAAAGCTGGGTGCAGTGAGAGGAGCGCAAATGGATGCTCGTGTGCTCGCAGCCAACGAAGTGGTCGGAATTAGATATGAAATGAAATGAGATACATTTTCGCGTAGCCGAAGTTATGCCTGCGCTAGACTCAATTTTGCTAGTCGGCGGCATAGAGTGGTGTCCGCATATGTCGGGTCTCCCGCTGCAGGCAGCGAGTCGAGGATTGATGTCATGAGTGTCTTCCATCTTGTCTTGTCCAGTGCTAGTTGTCGAAGTTTGTCAAGATCGCGCGCGCAGCGCAGTCGGTGTCCGGAGCCACTTGAAACGAGGTCTGCGTCCAGTACTAGAGGCAACGTTGTGCGCGGTCGGCCGCGCCACTTAGCTGCATCGCTTGGAGCAAAGTAGGCCGCCATTTGAACGTACACCGGGATCTCAGGGCGCCGCAGGATGTGGCCAAAGAGGCCCCACCTGGACGCCATGATCCGGTGTCGGAGCGGCCGCTCGTTGCAGATCTCGTAGAGGCCTTGATTGGAGACGTGGCGAGGGTAGCGGATGTTGAGTACGTTGCGTAGCTGCCGACGGTGAAAGCTCTCCAGGCTGTGGAGCTCTGACTGCGTCAGAGCCCAGGTCCCGCTGTTGTAGAGTAGTACCGGCAACACGTAGCAGTTGTAGAGGCGAATCCTGGTCTTGTCCGTCGTGACGTGCAGCCGCAGCCACACCGCCCAGAGCCGATTGAGAGCCGCTGTTGCCAGTGTCTTTCGTCTGTTGATATCTTCAGCATCGCCGAGTAGTGATCCGAGCTTTTTAGTTGATCGCCATGTCTCCTCCGCGGCTCGGGTGTGTCTGGTTTCGCCTGCTGGCCAGACGTGCCGTTGAATCCTTGTAAGCTCGGTCTTGGAAACATTCATCTGGAGCGACCATCGCGCGAGGATCGCCGGTGCGCGCTCGAGGATGAGGTCGACCACTGCCGAGTCGCGGCAGATGAAGTCTGCGTCGTCTGCGTAAACCACCATTTGCTCCAGGAGCTGGAATGGGACATCTAGTCCTCTAGCAACATCTCTAAGAGCTGCCTCTAAGTAAACTACAAATAAGATCGGCGAGAGTGAGTCGCCCTGAGGGGTGCCCGTATTACTCTCGAATGGAGCGAGCGTTTTGGACCCTGCTCGAAGTGCCAGCGTGGTGTTAGTCAGGAGCGTCTGGATAAGTCGGACGTCATCACGGGTCAGGAAGGTCTCCAGAACCGAGAGAAGCCGCTGCCGGTCGATAGTGTCGAATGCCCTGGAGAGGTCGATGCCAAGGACGTGAATATTCTCTTGGTAGCGTTGGGCCCAGGCACAAAGCCATCAATGTGTCCATACCGCGTCAGCGGTGTTGCGGTTATTTCTGAAGCCGCTCTGGTTGGGCGACAGAAAGCGATCTACTGCTGGGGACATCCGCCGGAGTGCAACCAGCGAGACAGCTTTCCTGATGCTGTTTAGGAGGACGATTGGGCGGAGACTTGAGCATGCTCCGCGCGGTTTGTTCGGCTTAGGGAGGCACAGCAGCGTGCCTGCCCCGAGGTCAAGAGGTTCCCCACGTTCAAAACTTTTGTTCAGCAGAGTAGCAAGGCGCGGAGCCAGCTCATCAGCTCCATATTTGAGGAGCTCGGCTGGAATGTCGTCGGGGCCAGACGCTCGGCGGTTATTTAGTTGACGTAGCGCTTGGCGGACCTCGTCGGCCGTGATGGGGCAGTCGAATGCGCGGGCTTCATGGTCAAGAGCGATGGGTGATCGCGTAGGTATGGCAAACTGGGTCTGAAAGTGTGAGTGAACACGGGTGTTAGTCGTAGCCTGGCGAAGTATATACTTACCTGTAAAGTCTCGCAGCAGTAGCAGATCGGTTTGTCTCGGTTTGATTGCGCGCACAGCTTCGTAAAACTGAGCTGTGTCGCTGAGGCTTTCGATCTGGCAGATTCTTTCGTCGAGTTCCTGGTTAGCGAGGTCACGACACCGATACTTGATCTGATGTAAGATTGCGTTGCGTTCTCGGCGGAGAGCGCTTGTGCTTGTGCTGCGATCATTGTAGATGCGTAGCTGGAGAGCTCGTTGGCGGGCCGAGAGCTCTCGGAGAACGGCATCGTCGTATCTGTGGTGTCGTTGGGCGGGGAGCTGAAGTCGACTGTCGTTTCGGCTGTCTGCTTGACTAGGTCGAGGGTCGTTTTCCACTGCATGGGGATGGAGAGTGTGTCGGCGTCCTTGTTGTTGGCAAGGGCGTGCTGCAGCGCAGTGCTGTACTTGGCTCGGGTCTCTTCGTCGTGGATGAGCTGGTCACGTGCGAGTCGGAGGGGGCGTTCGGTGCGCTGATGGGGCTTGAATCGTAGTCTCTGAGAGTGTTGAAGCACGAAGTCCGCCGTAACGAGTTTATGGTTGGACGGTGTGTTGGTTCCACCCCAGGATTGAGCGTCCATGCAAAAGTGCCTGCAGTTCTGTGGACAGAAAATATAATCGATCTGATTGTAGATGCAGACATCGGTCCTGCGTTGGCTCCAAGTGGTCTTGTGCTTCGCGCGTTTTTGGAATGCTGTGTTAGTGGCAAAGAGACGAAAAGAATCACAAAAGTTAGCTAGAGCATGGCCGTTGCGGTTGCGCACTCCTCGTGCGTGTGGCCCCAGGAAGGATTCGCCGCTTTGTCTCCGGCCTAGTTTGGCGTTGAAGTCTCCAGTAAGGATCGTGATATCGCGGCTTGGAATGGACGTTAGAGAGTCATGTAGGTCCATGTAGAAACGATCGACATCCTGGAGGGGCCGACCGCTGTGGGGCGCATATGCAGAGACGATGTTGACACGGCCTGTATGGAGCAGTACCAGTTGGAGGACGCCGATGCGGTCACAGTGAGCCCAATAGCGCCACAGGAATGGTCGCAGGCGTGCTGAGGAGGCAAAGCCGACGCCGTGGTTTTCCTGTAAAGCGGGTAGAGTTAGTAGAGTGTTCACCGATGAGCTTCCGACCGAGTGTGGGTATCTTGGTCTCTTGGAGGCCAAGAATGTCGAGTTTGTAGCGCTGGAGATCTCGTGGTAGTGTGCCATATTGCCTGCGGTGCGAGTTGAGCGACTGGACATTAAACGTGCCTACACGGAGGCGCTTAGTTTGGTTAGGACGAGATGGAGGAGGGGTTTGACAGCGGTGACTGCTGGTGAGCGGAGGCTGAGACCCGCAAAGGACTCGCAGATGCCCGAGAGCACCTGCCGGAAGCCCGAGACCAGCATCATGCTGTTAGGGGGAGGACGTCACCCCAACCCCTCCAAAAACGGAATTAGATAAACCATAGTTATTCAAACCTACCCCTACCAAGCTCGGATTTATCTTTTCCGACCACTACGATATCCGAGGTCAAAACGAAGGGTAAAATAAATGCAAGGCAGAATAGAGGTACCATATTTAAAGTAGGTGATGAGGTACAGTGTCGCTTACCATAGTTACCAAGAAAATTCATAAACTACCTGCATGTTGCCTGAGTCGTCTCCTCCTCCGCTTATGTACGACTCACGATGCTGCTTGAAAGTACATCTTTAGAGACCGTGTACGTCGTTGATCTCCGATCAATCGCATGCGTTTTCAAGCCGCCACCAAGAGTCCAGCGCGGGATGACTAATTCTTCGCCATGTAGTAGGTGCTCCTCACCCGCTTTAGCTATACTCACATCATGTCCTTCCACGTTTGTTCATACACTGTAATATGGTGGTAAACTGGCCTTCTATCTGAGCTTAATTCACTGACCTATAGAAGCCTGATATGTCGTGAGACGTGTCTGTATGTCGACCGTCTTTTTCATACACTGTGATACTAGTGGTTGCCAGAGTTGGATGCAAGCCGCTTTCCAAGAAGAATCTCATCATCTTATTGGACAAAATTACCCTGCATTACAAGAGATCTTACCCCAGTTTTTTTTCAGGAGATTACTTGGAGTCCAAGGAGTGTGCGACACACAAAATAACAACACGAACATCTCGTCGCGGCAAGCAAACTAAGCGCGAAGACCAAGAAGAAGTCGGTCTTCTAAGGCCACGATGCGGTCACCGACGGCAAGTCATCTCTGCAGGTCGTCCTGAATTGGCTCTACACGGAGGAAGATTACAGCAAGTGGCGGTGCAGCGACCATCTAGTGCTGTAGTGCGAACTGCGCTAAAGCACGGGGCTCCAGCGAGTACGAGTTGACATCTTTTTGAATGAGACGAGGGTCACCTGATTGGTTAGGCGACCTTTCGCCTATGACAGGATGTGAACTTTGACTACGTTTCCAAGCTCGCTGGATCCAATCAGGCAAAAGTTAGGCGACCTTTCGCCTAACTGGATGCAAGTAGGAGCATTAGCCTATGACAGGATGTGAACTTTGACTACGTTCCAAGCTCGC